ACAAGAGCAAAAAATATCACATGCAGAAAAATCCTTTAACAAAATAAAACAAATACTTATTCTGAAAGCACTACAAAAAATGTAGTGACTTTTTATATCATAAAAATGCATCTTTAAAAAGCAAATACTTTATACAAAGACATACAGTAGTATCATTTCTAATAAGTATAGGAATAAAATTAAGATGACAAATCTCCTCCTTATTAATTGGTATAGTGCCAGAAAGGGCATTAGGAGCATAAAATGAGAAAAATTAAAATATAAAGATAGAAAAAGAAGAGGCAAAACTATGCTTATTTTTTTTTTAAAAAGATGGTTTAGTTAGAAAATCATAGGGAATAATCAGAGATACTAACTGGGAAAGTTGATAGAATCATCAAGTTAAATGCATAATAAATCCTTTAAAACTCTACATTTTTATATAACAAAAAATTCAAGAGTTTATAAGAGAAATGGAAATCCCATTCTAAATAACTGCAAAAGTGCATAAAATACCAAAATATTTATGGAACTATTCAAACTTCTTACATTGATTCAATTATGAAGAGCTTTTTCAAAGAAATAAATGACAATTAAAATAACTGAAGAAATAGTCTGTATTCCTGGCTTGACCATAATGATATAATAAAATTGAAAATAAAAATCCAGGGATTCCAAGAGGCAAAAGTAAGGAGTGACTGCAATAAAGGAATGAGGGAGAGCTAACAAATGGAGATAGGATATTGTGTTCAGTGAAAGATGAACTGGCCAAAACATCAAAAGTTCAAACTTTTTAACAAATTGATTTACTAAGCAATGCATGACAGTTACATAACAAATCAAGACCAGGCCTCATTGGCTTTGACACTGGGCTTCAAATGCAGAGGGATAGGGTTAGGGGGTGGGGTTGAGGTCAGATTTTTATACAACTTTTTTGTGAGTCAAGCTTGGTTGAGTCAGAATGTCAAGCTTTAGGGAAACAACCTTTAGAGGGGGGAGGGGGCCAAACAAAACCTTAGAACATTCTCGTTAATCTTTCAGCAAGGGATGTTTTTATGAAGATTACCTCCAGAAGCCAGACACCTACTCTCAAACCAAATTCATCTTTGCTTAGGTAATGTTTAGATTTTATTTCCCTTAGGAGTGCAGAATTTTAGGATTAACTTTTAGATTAAGCTTTCCTGCAGGAGTGTAGAAGTTTACAGTTAGGTGATAAGGGTTGGGTGGAATTACGTATTCTAGTAGTAGTAAAACACTGTTGGGTTCTCCTTGGATAGCCTGTTGGTATCTTGAAGCAGGGGTTGCTCGTGATAAGTTACAACAATGACCAAAAAGTACATTGAATGAAAATGATTGAGTACCTGCAGTATTATTTTAACTCAGAGAATATTATTTTGGTAAGTAAAAGTCACTTCATGTTAAGATTTCAAAAAAAAAAAAAAAGCAACCCAACAATGTCTATTACTTTGAGAGAAGGACATTTTATCTTTAGGAGCCCACCTGTTTGGTTGGAAATCTGCCCTTCAGGGCATGGGGTGCACTCAAAGCAGCAGATGGGCTGGCCTTCACAGACTGTCTTCTTGAATCCAGGGCCACAGCTCAGACTGCATGTGGAAGTGGGAGTCTGTGTTTCCACCATAGAAAGGGAGAAAAATGTCACTGTAAGAATGACTGCTGAAAGATAGATGCACTGAGGTGATGGTGATTTCAGACCTCTCCTACAAAAGATAACGTGTTTGTAATTCTTCATGTCAAGGATGATCTAATTCTCAATGGAGACTTCCTTCCTGTATTTCCACCTTCTACTTCAGATCATCTTGTCCTCAGTGGACCTGTACAGATTCTCCACTAGGTACAATCAAGCTCCTCGATTATTTTTTAACTGTGATATCTTGCTGACATATTTTTTACTCAAAAGTACTAGTATAATTGTGAACTGCACTCAATTTTTGAAAAGGTAATGTTGAAATAAATCATTGACGACAAAACCTAAAAGTCCTGGATTTATGTTTTTTTTTTTTTTCATAAAGTATCCTGAATGTTTCAGGGAATCATGGCTTTAGAGAATATACACTATAATGAACTAATTAAACAATTCAGCTTGGTTGAATCTAAGAAACAGATCACATGACTGGCTGATCTTGATACCTGGGCTGACATTTAGAGTCTTCTCTGGGGACCGCTGTTGGGGCTAAGGTGGGATTTATCAAATTGCACAGACAAATGAAACTGCTTAAATACATGCTTGACATCAGTATAAGACATAATCACAAGACTTAAATTAAGAATCTCTAAAGTCACTGTCCGTCTTGAGGAGACAAACTCAAGATGATTTATTTATGTAGCTGTAGGATTCCAAATATTGTGTAGTCTTTGGTGCAATTGGTCCTTTTGGGTGAAAAAACCTTCTCAGCCCTCCCCCCCCATTGGTATTCTTTAAACTTGACAATTCAATCTAGGATATTTCAAGATTCTCTTCCTATGAATAATTCAAATCATTATGTAACTTATCTGAAAAGAATTTGAAAGTAGGATTGAAAAAAAGGCAATAAAAAATCTGTCATACTCAGAGAGAAAATGAAGAGTAAGTAAATGCTAGCAACCTGACACAGTGACTTCTAGCATCTATGGGGAACATCCTGGTGCCAAAGAGCAAACAACAGTGTCCAAGACTGTAAATAGGCAAAGCGATAAAGCTCCTATCATTCAGGGGCCACTTACCCTAGAGAAATCTTCTGGCCAATCTATGCCTGCTTCATTAATTCTGAATCTCTGACCATGATGGGTCACTTCCCCTACTTTCACCAGTATCTCTCTCTGATCAGGGAAGGATTTAGAATTCAGGATATCACATGTCTCAGCATCCATCATGGCTCCATCCCCAAATGACTCATCACTGGCACTATTGACAGGACTCATACACTTTAGGAAGTGGGAGAGCTGAAGACAAAGACAAGAATTTGTTAATCAGTGTGCAAAGAAGGCTTCGTGCCCATGTCCCAGGCTTGACTATTAGCATAAAATAAGCTCGGAATTTGGAGCTTTCGAAAGTTGTCATTCTCTCTTATCTTCAAATTCTTCTTCTTGAGCTCCTCTGATATCTCTGCACTCTTCTTCTCCTATTCTGTAGAAAGTAATGGACAATGGGAGAATAACTAAGCCAGTAAACAATTAGTTGTCGACATCGAACTTACTTCAAAAGTCATTTCATCTTCCTTTCACCAAATCAGAAATTTCTTCCAAATATCTCCGATGTCTTGCATTCCATTTCTTTTGTAAAGCCTGTCATCACAGAAGACTCAATACCATCTACAAGCAGGAGTTTACTATTTCTTCCCCATTTGGTTGTAAGAGCCTCAAAAACTGGAACTTTCTTTGTCTTTCTTTGCATCCCTAGAAGTTTGCATTTTTCCTAATACACAACGAGCGCTTAAGAAATGTGCATTGATGGGCAGATTTTTAGGGGAATTCTCATTCCTTGTACAAAAGTCTTAGTAAAATTAAAAATATCGGGGCAGCTAGGTGGTCTAGTGTATAGAGCACCAGTCCTAGAGTCAGGAGGACCTGAGTTCAAATCCGACCTCAGACACATAACACTCACTAGCTGTGTGACCCTGGGCAAGTCACTTAACCCCATTGCCTAGTCAAAAAAAAAAAACTCTATAAAAAATTAAAAATCTCCACTGCAAGTCTTTGATATGGTCAACGAAGTGAACTTAGGAACAAAGGACAGTTTGATGTTCACAGTAATGAAATACAAGGTAAAAAGGGAAAGCAAATATAAATGATTATGAGACTGAACAATTTGGAAAGTTCAGTGATGCAAAATAAATAGGAAAGACAATAATTTCAATGAAAGAAATTATGAAAAATTGCATTGTAATAAACTTTAAGAATATGAAACATTAACACAAACTGAAGAAGATCTGAGAAGCAGAGGTTCCAGTAAAAGCTAGAAAATTATTTTGGATATACTGGATCTAGATGTCCTTGGTCAATGGAAAATATTCAAGAAACTTTCACAGTGATTGAAAATGTAGAATGAGAAGGATGAAAACATAAATGAAGTCTACATTCTTCTCAATAAGAACTGTTGTGGTAAGATTTCATTATTTCAAGGTAAACATAAAGAATCTAACAGGTCAGAAATAATAATACATGATTATTGTTCAGTTTTTGAGGCATGTACAACTCTTCATGACCCCATAGACCATAGCATACCTGGCCCTTCTAACCTCCACTATATCTGACAATCTATCCAAGGTAATGTTCATGGTTTCTATGTCACTAACTGTCCATCTCGTCTTCTGTCATCCCCTCTTCCATTTACTTTCAATCTTTTCTAACATCAGGATCTTTTCCAATGAGTCCTGTCTTCTTATTATGTGACCAAAGTATTTAAACTTCAACTTCAGGATTTGACCTTCCAATTAACAGTCTGAATTAATTTCTTTAAGTATTAACTGTTTTGAACTTCTTGCTGTCCAAGAGACTCTCAACAGTCTTCTCCAGCATCATAGTTCAAAAGCATCAATTCTGTAACACTCAGTTTTTCTTATAGTCCAAATCTTGCAGCTATCTATTGCTACTTAAAAAAAAAATAGCTTTTACCGCATCATACCTATAAGATTGGCTAACATGACAAAACAGGACAATGATAAATGTTGGAGGAGATGTGGGAAAATTGGAACACTAATAAGTTTTTGGTGGAATTGTGAAATGATCCAACCATTTTTGAGAGCAATTTGGAACTATGCCCAAAGGGCTATAAAA